TTTTTTTTGGGTTTTTTTTTTTTTTTTTTTTTTTTTTTTTTAAATTTAATTTGACTCTTGTTTTTTTCAATAGCTTTAAGAAATAAATAAATAAATAAATATGTATATTCAAGTATCATCAGTATCAGGAATCTCATAGCTGGAACGGGTATGACACTGCTCAACAATGCTCGCATACAGCACGACGAGCTCAAAGCCACATAGTGTCTGCAGTTGAGAGAGACGACAGTTTGACAGAGAGAGGAATAAGGGAAAGAGAGAGAGAGAGAGAGAGAAAAATGGGGGCTGGACAGGAAGACAGACAGATGGGCCAGTCACTTCCGCCTGCAGGCGACGGCCGTCCATTTTATAATGCCCTATTTTGTTTGAGCTCTTTCGGCTCTAGTTGCCGGGGCAGTTGCTTGATTTGCATTTGCATTCGAGCCCCGTACCCAGCCCCTGGCCACTGCCCACTGGCCAATGGCAACCAGCAGCTGAGCTACTAGCTACAGAATAATTATGGACAATGAAATGACGATGGACTTGGCGCAGCTTGTCTGTGATGCATGAGCCCGGCCACTAATGTTGGTACATGATGATTTCTTTGGAGCACAAACTTGGCCAAGACTGCTCAGCAATCAGTGAGTGGAGCAAGTTCCTCCAGCACTGAGATAAACTCTGAAAAGAACTGAAGCCTTTAAGCCGCTTAGCACAAACTTTTGGATGGTTTTGGCTTGTTTACTTCGTAATAGGCACTTTTTTGCGTAAAGTGCCAACAATTAAACGCAAATGCTTTATACGGATTAAATACTAAAGCTTACTCCGTGCTGCTGTTTAATAAGAAAGGCAGGGTTGGGCGATATGCCGAAATATTTCATTTCATTTGATTATTTGCAATCGAGGAGCATCAGCTTTCCACCGCATTTGAGCATCGTTCAGCACAAACATACATATGTGCATGCCATTCAATAAATTTCCTTCAAGTACGTCCTTACACTTTAACTTTCAACTGACGAAATTTATCGAGAAGATTGTGCGCTTTGTGAAATTAAAGTGCAATAAAGCTCTATATACGTATATAGAATACATTTGATAAGCAATGCAGAAAGCATAACACCATTAAAAATCTTAGTAAAACGACTTACAGTTTCTTATACATATTCACGAAAGTTAAATGAGTATATTGGCTTTGTGCCGTCTGTCCGTCTGTCCGTATTAACGCAGTTTATTTCGGCGCTATTGAAGCTAGAGACCAGCTAGAGAAATTTGGAACACATACTCTTGTATATCTCCGGTTTATAAAATGTTACAATTTTCCAGATCCGTCCACTAGGGGCGTGACAAATCAGAAAATGCATTTTCTAAAATTCCAAAAATCATATTACTTTATGAGCTAGAAAGCTGAAATTTGGAATGTAGTCGACCATCCAAGATCACGACCTATGACGGATATACGCCCATTGGGGGCGTGGAAAATCGGATAAAACTGTATCTCCCAAAGTTGTAAGTTGATCTAATGTTTCGATTCTTTAAAGATGGGTGGCACTAGGGGCGTGGTAAATCAGACCAAGTCTCTAGCCTCAATAGCGCCGAAATAGACTGCGTTCAAACGGACAGACAGCAAGACGCACATTGCACAAAACCAATACACATACTCATATTTCCAATTACAGAGACATTGCGAAATTATCTGCTATTCCGGAGTTATGACAGTTTTTCTAAAAAAATGCAAATACTTTCTTTTCATAGTTTCAATATTATCAGTGACTACATTTGGCTGTAAAATGGGGCATAGCTGGTCGGAATGGAAAATGAAACTCTCCCATTGGGTTTGTGATACTATTGTTATAATTTACTGTACTTTTTATAGGCTACATTTAAAAAAAAAAAAAATAATAAATAAATAAATATTATTATATACTATCATATATTTACAAGAGCTCGTTGTAGCCCCCGTTGGCACTCTCCCATATTATTAGGGGGACATTATTGTCTTTCTTTAACTAAAAACTTTTAATATTGTCGGACTAATTAAATTATTTTTATCGTAACTGCATCCCAAAATGGAAAAAGGAGAATATGAAGGAATTTCATTTTCAACGTATTGGCTCAATCTGCATACGATTATTTCAAGCTGACAAGCAGAGGCCGATTTTGAGTTCATTGTGTTTGCTAATATATTGAGTTTGTTTTGCAATCGAGCTCGAGCAGGCAGACATTCGGTCCACAGTTCAAGCTGTATATCCTCTGCCTGGCATCTTGGGACGCGAATGCATTTCAAAGCTACCAAGGAATACGCGGAGCTCCGGTGATGACATAAAAGTAATGACATTAGGGCGTTTTTGAAGGTAACACAACCGAGGCGTCGCCCCCAAATTCCCGTAATGCAATATAATCCTAATATTCGTCGGGGGTAGGTTTTTTTGGTGGTTGCAAACGGTGGCTCGTGTTCCACACACCCCCTGAAGCCCGTTGTGTTAAAGCAAACATTTTGCTTGAATCTGATATAGAGCTTCATTATTAAATCGATGAGTGGCCTGTAAGCTAGGTACTGACCTAGGGGTAAAGTCACAGAAATGAGCGAGAAATGCTAAAAACTGAGGACATTTGAAAGACCGCCTTGGCTCGATGTCCTTACAATTTAATAGGCACAAACAAAACTTTGGTTCGTGGTAAAACTTAATATATGTAAATCGGTTTAAGTTTTATTTACATGAAGTGAATTAAATTTGTTCACAACTGAAGATCATAATTAAAATTGCAAAAGTCAGTAACGAGAGGCACCAAAAGTTTTCAAATAAAGTTTCTAAGCTTGGTAAGGCAATTATATTCCACTGAAGCCCAATGTGTAGGTAAAGATATTTCATAGTGCACAGTCTGTCTGTCTGATAATGATTTTCAGTCGCTTCAAGCCAAAGTCTCAGGTTCTTTCATTTTCAATCTCGATCATTTATTTCTCACCTGTGTTCAACTTTCAACAACCTCTGGCTGAAATTCAGAAGCAACAGCTTGGCTTGAAGCAAGACGAGCGAGGATTCTTCTATTTCTTTTCTATATATTATGGGTATATGGGCTTTGCTTCATGCAGCAGAAGGCGATTCAATTGTATACGTAGTATATATTATTCCTAGCTTGTACAACCGATGGCAAATCTCATGCACTCTAATGAAATACATGTATTTGAATTTAATTACAAAAAGTTAACTTTTAATCTATCAGTTGTTACTCTAGCTTTGGATTGATCACTAAATCAGAAATCATCATTACAAAAACACTTTAGCTAGAAGTATTATATATTAAGGGCTATAAAGGGATATGCTTAAGGACAAGGACCTACATATGTGTCTGTTCAGCTGTAGGGTATCTTTTGGTTCAGAATCCGAAACTTAGCCTTTCTTTTGAAGCCTGTAGTTTTGTTGCTGGCCACAAAGACCCGATAGCCTCTCTACCATCCCAAACCCGAGCCGCACATGCAAAGTGCAATTCCGTATGGTGCAATAGCTAATGTTCTCTGGCGCTGGGGGTCCCCTTCCTACTTCTGTTTCTTCAGTTCTCTGTGGCCGTTGCATTTGCTAGACCATTGCAAAATAGACTGAAATTGATGATGTCACTTGATAGGGCGAATGAGTTTTTCATCTTTCACTTTTCACATTGCAGCTAGTCGTGTTTGAAGCCCCAGCCAGGACTGGCCGACCCAGACCAATCCAGCCAGGCTCTTGGCCAGCCCGAACAGCTCCTCCAGCTTCACGTTCATGTTGTTTAACAAATTCATCCTGTTGCTTGCGCTTCAGTGCGTGCCCAGTGCTGGGTTGGACAGCCATCACATGGCACTGTGTCCTGCAGCGCACTAGACAAAACACACACCCATACGTGCACACATTCACACATGAACAAATGCACGGACATCGATTACATATACACACATGCACTTATATATGCGCATATGCGATTTTGGGTAGGCCATTGTTGTGCATCGACCTGTTTGATTGGCTTGCTTTTTGCACGATTTTAATTAGTGCAGGGGAGCATAGAAAAAGTAGTTCTGCATGGTGTGTGGCATGTGGCGTACGGCGTATAGCGAATAGCGTATGCCGTGCTGCATGTGGAAATAGTGCTTTAAGTTGCTGGCGAATTGAACAACATGAAATATTTCATAAGCGCATTGCGACCCAGCCACAATGCCAAATTATTTATGCAAACTGCTCAGACTGTGGTCATGAGCTTGAATATGAGCATTACTATGAGTATTCCATTCTCTTTGTGTGTGTGTGTGTGCCTTATGTATTGAGTGTGTGTATACCTTTACAGACGCCACAAACAAAAGACTAAAAATCGACTCCATACGATTCCATACGTTTCGTTATAGCTAAATTCCAAATTTTGTAACAATAGCGTACACACAGCCAAACCGTGACATGAATACGTGTGTGAGCTTTGAGCTAGATACAAGCAGTTGACTGGCTTAAACACATTACACTACATAGTCTGAGAATCGCAGAATAATTTTGATTCTATTTTATTTATGTAAATATGCTAATATTTCACGAATGTGAGCCTAACCTTAACCTTTTGAAATCTAGTTCCTTGACTTAGCTCAGAAGATATTATCTTTATCGATAATCTTCGAATATATTGGTCTTTAGTACATTGCTAATAAGTAATACTTATATTGAAATATGTATGCACCATGGCTCTATATGAAAATCCCTCTCCCTTGTGGAAAAAATTCAATCTGCGGAATCTTTGAGGTCATCTTAAGCCTGATGCAAATAGGTTTCTTAAGGTTAAGTTACTTGCCGTTTATACATTAGCTTGTCATAGCGTCTGTCGCTCATACACACACACATATATGTACACACTCGTTCAACTATTCAGCTGCAGCATCTTTTTGTGGCACTTACCTTATTGGAATGGCCATTGAATTTCAATAGCTTCTTGCAGGACTTGCCGCGACTCTCGAAATAGATTTCCTGCGGAGTCCGTCGACGTCGCTGCGCTGCCGGCTGCGCTGTCAGCGTCTTGCGTTGCATGAACAGCGGCTCGCCTTGGCTGCACTCGGTGCCTGCCACAGACTGTGTCGCCTTGTGGCGGCTCACGCAGAACAAACGACTTAAGATGCTGCAGCAGCCGCTCGCTTCAGGCGTTTCAGTATCTGCTGCCTTCGTTGTTGCTGTTGTTGTCTCTGTTGTTGCATTGTTGTTGGCACAGCAGCGGGCGGATATGGTCATTAGGTTGGCATTGCGGCATGTCTGGCGATTGACGTCCATTTCCATGGTGCGCAACAAAAAACTGTTGCCTACTTTCCTGTACGCGGTGTTGATTTGCGAAATGTTCTTGGTTTTCTACCGTTACTGTCGATGTTGCCGTTTTTGTTGCTGCTGCTGGAGCTTCTTTGCTGCTATAACAGATTTTACGACAGTTCGGTTGCTTTTTTATATGCAAATTGCCAGCCGGAAATTTCGGTTCTTTAAGTTGTGTGTATTTATTTCTGTTTTTTTTTTTTTTTTAGCTGTCAGCGCGCTGTGGCAGGTGGTTCAATGATACTGTTGTTTTTGGTTGTTAGGCACACAGCAACTTGGCGCCCGTACGCACAAATTCACACTCGCACAGACTGGTACAGACACACACACCCTCATACGCATACGCTTACGCTCAAGTCGCCCTCCCACAAACAGCCGCGCAGTTCAGGTGAGAGATAAAAGCAGCCGCGATGCTTAAGAGCTGAGGGCAGCCAGCCAACTGATAGCATGGACCCATGTCTGTGCTTGGGCTGTTGAGGCAGCGCAGCGTTGCCAGACCGTCGAGAGAGCAGCTAACGGCGGGTAGTGCGCATGTCGGGCGGACAGTGAGTGCTAAAAAGCATGTCACCTGCCGTGCGCCCTTGGCAGCAGCTTGTGAATGAACCAAAGATTGTTGCCTGTTTACGTTTGCTAGTGCTGCATCGACTGCTGCGGCTGCTGTTCTGATTTCTGTTTCGAGGCGTGACAAAGGGCGTTTTACATCGTTACGTAGAGCGGGTAGTAGTTGAAAATTGAAGCGAGTTTTGCTTTATGTGTGTAATTGCTTGGCGGCAGTCGAGCGGCTCTGCCATGCTATGCAGCAGTTTTTATACTCATTCACGAAAGTGAAATGAGTATATTGGTTTTGTGCAATGTCCGTCTTGCTGTCCGTCCGTCTGTTCGTATGAACGCAGTCTATTTCGGCGCTATTGAAGCTACAGACTTGAAATTTCGAACATGTGTATATCTCCGATTTATGAAGTTTTAAAATTTTTCGGATCCGCCCACTAGGGGCGTGGCAAATCGGAAAATGCATTTTCCGATATGCCACAAATCATATTAGTTGAATGAGCTAGAAAGCTGAAATTCGGTATGTAGATCCGAGTCGACCACCGAAGATCACCAGCTATGGCGGATGTATCTCCGCCCGTTGGGGGCGTGGCAAATCGGATAAAGCTGTATCTCCCAAAGTTGAAAATCTAGAATGCTAAAATTTTGCACGCGAGCTAATGTTTCGATTCTTTAAAGATGGGTGGAAGTTATATATCTACGCCTACTAGGGGCGTGGCAAATCGGACCTAATTTTACAAATTTTGCTATATTTTTGGCCCTATTGATGCTAGAGACCTTAAATTTGGTATATATACACAGGCTGACCTCCCAAGTCCAACAAGCAATGATGGATTCATCTCCGCCCAAAGGAGGCGTGGCAAACCGCAAAAGTTTATATCTCCTACAGCTTAAGAGCTAGACGCTTCAAATTTGGATAGTTAGGCTACTAGGAATACCCTGTAATTTTCAAATTTTAGCGTAAGAATTCAAATTTTGAATTTAGGTTACGGTTAGATTGTTCTATGAACTTGCCAAAAATGACGTGTCTACGCCCTGTATGGGCGTGGCAAGTCGAGACAACCTGAATTTTCTACAGTATTAGAGCAAAACTTGGCTACTAAACTCCTGAACCGTCCCATCTGATATTGTAATCATTCTGCACCTCTTTTATGCACACATACATACACATTCACCCACACGTGCGTATCAGCACGGGCTCTGCCAACTGCGCAGTAAGCAGTGATTGCGCGTAGGCTGCGCTGCAGTGTGGGCAATGTTATGAGAATTTATTATACCTTGAACCCATTGAAAATGGGAAATCAGGGTATATTGGCTTTGTTGAAATGTATGTAACAGGTAGAAGGAGGCGTGGCAGACCCCACAAAGTATATATATTCTTG